AGTTTTTTTCTTCACACATTTTCAAGATTTTGATTCTCCTTTCTTGCATGGTGTGTGTGTTTTCAAATGTCCTTAGTAGCTTTCCCCAGGTTCTTGCAGGGTTTTCTTTGTTTTTCCATGGTTTGAATACGATATGCTCACAGTAGGTAGTTTTTTTGTATTTACCCTGCTTGGCATTCACGGAGATTCCCTAGGTCTGTGGTTTGGTGTCTGTCATTAATTTTGGAAAATTCTTAGCCATTATTCTTTGAATACTTTTTCTGCTCCCTTGTCTCTTTCTTCTTTTTCTGGTATTCTCATCATGTGTATGTTGCATGGCTTGTAATTATCCTGCAGTTCTTGAATATTCTGTTTTACTTTGCTCCTTCTTTATTCCTCTTTACATGACAGTTTTGGGGGTTTATTCTGATATTTCTTCAAGCACACTGATTCTTTTATTGCCCATGTCTCAAAGGCCTTCTTCATTTCTTATAGTATTTTTTATTTCTAGCATTTTTTTATTCTTAGACTGTAAGAATACATGCTTCTATTATCTGTCCTTGCAGTTGTCTATTTTTTCCCCTTAGACTCCTTTCCAAATTAATTGTAATTATTTTCTTGCTGTGATATTTTCAAAAGTTCTGTCATAGCCAAATCTGGTTCTGATCCTTGCTTTGTCTCTTCAGACTCTTTTCTTTTTTCCTTGTCTTTTAGCATGTCTCACAATTTTCTTTTTGTTGAAAGCTAGCAAGCTAGACCTTTATCGCGGGGTTTATGTATATCTGGCTAGGAGTTATGCTGTGTTCGCTGTGGCTACAACTCTAGATGTTTGAGGCTTCAAGCTCCTCTACTGCCTTTGTTTCTGCCTCCCTTTGTCTTTCTGTTTCCCTAAAAATTCTTTCGAATAATAAAGTCTGAACCTCGCTGTTGTTTTCATCTGCAGTCCTGTATTATACCAGGGCTCTGAGGCTGTGGTGATAAGGTGAATGCAAACGTGTGTGTGAAGGGGAAGCATTCTGCATTCCTAGATCAGGGCTCAGGCTTTTGGTGGAGTTACCTTCTTAAATTTTTCTCAGGCCATCCAGCCCCCGCCCCGCCTTCATCGTAGGCCAGAGGAAGGCCAGAGGGGTCCGCAGGAGTTGGTTACTTGCCCTCCTCCTGGTCAGACTCGGCTTTGGTAAAATACTTTACCTTGTTAACCGGCCTTCATTACAGAGAACACAACAAAGAACAGAACTCTGGGTAAATTGCAAGCTAGTTACTTCTCCTGCTAGAAGCAGGAGAAAGGATTTTTTCTCTGATCTTCACAGCGAGAACAACATGGGACATTTTGTTTCCATTTTTTCAGTTTCTCATATTTTTTTCCTCTCCCTTATTACCTTTCCCCCACCCTTCCCACTTTCCCTACATGTTTAGCCCTTTACTTCCTATTTCACATTATTAATTATCTCATTAGGATCCTGTGTACTATTATAGTTTTTCACACCAAAGAAACTATTCGGTATTTCAGTTAAAGAAATCTCTGTATGAACATTAAAAATAGGGAATCCTAAAATAAAACTAAAAAGGAAAGTAAAAGAGAAAAGGCAATGATGTAAGATTAAAATAATCCTTAATTCTGGAGATGAAAATGGTCCCTGAACATATTTAAATTGCTTCTTGCTCTTATAGTCTTATTCTTTTTTTCATTATTTAGAGAATACTTTATTAATTTCTGTAATCAAACCCACGTAGACATGACCTTCCATATTTAGTACGATGTGTTACCCCTGTACACATGGAAAAAAAATAAATAAATTAACATTTCTAGACCAATATGGTTGTCCATTTCTGTACAATGCCAAGTCAACACAGTAAATTGGGATGACTTTTTCCAAAGTTGGCAGCACCATTAAAGTTTCCCAAAATTCAATTTATATATATATATGTATATATATATATATATACATATATATATGTATTTATATTTATATAAAAAGACTAATAATAGTATGTTATGCATCGATAGCAGCAACAGCTTTTCCAGGTTCTGGAGTCATCTGAACAAAATTATAGACATTCAACATATTCCATTAAAAAAAAAACAAACAAAACAAAACAAAAAAAACACAGAAAAGAATAATATCCAGAAAACAACAAGGTTCTGTTACTGTTGTGGTACCTGGGACCATTTTTTCTATTAGCCTCTTAATCATCATCTGGAAAGATAACATTCTAGAGTAATATCATTAAATGTAGCTCTGATAAAGCACGGTCCCTACTATGTATCATAAAGCAGGTACTAGATATTTTACATTCATAGAGGTATGATACAGTACCATCCTACATCAATAATACTAGATTCAGTTTTGGTTTGAAATTTACTTTGTCTGCAAATAAGATTGCTGCCCCTGTTTTTTTCTGGGCTCCTGTCACATGAAGAATTGTTTTCTATCTTTTCACTTTCAGTCTATGGGCTTCTTTTTGCACTAGGTGTGTTTCTTGTATACAACATATTGTTGGATTTTGCTTCTTATTCCATTTTGCCAGTCTATTTCTCTTGATTGGAGAGTTGAGGCCATTGACATTGCTGGTTATAACTGATATGTACTGACTTATTATTGACATGTCATTGGCCTTTTGTTGACTCTTTTTACTTTTTTCACCTTCTCCTTTTAATTTCTTGCCTTGCCTATTTGATTTGCTCTGTTGGATCACATGGTGTTGTTGCCTTCATTGTCTTTTTCTAGATCTTGTTTAGAATTGCTTGTAGTGCTGGTTTGGTATTCATGTAGTTTCTCAGGTGTTCTTTGTCGTGGAAGTGTCTTATTTCCCCATCCATTCTGAAAGAGAGTTTTTCAGGATACATCAGTCTAGGTTGGAGGCTGTTCTCTTTTAGTACTTGAAATATCTCATTCCAGGCTCTCCTTGCCCCAAGGGTTTGTGTTGAAAAGTCTGCTGTGATTCTGATGGGCTTTCCTTTGTACGTGATTTGTTTCTTTTCTCTTGCTGCTTTTAGTATTTTGATCTTCTGTTGGGTTTCTGGGATCTTGATTATTATATGTCTAGGTGTAGATTTTTTTTGATTGTAGCTAGTTGGGGTCCTATATGTCTCAGTTATCTGAATGTCAAAGTCTTCCCCTCTGTTTGGGAAGTTTTCTGTCATTAATTCTGTGAACAGCTTTTTAAAGTCATTTGTATTTTCTCCTGCTACTTCATGTATTCCTATCAGTCTTATGTTATTCTTCTTTGCATCATCTAGGAGTTGGATCGATTTCTCATGATCTCTTACTGTTTTTAAGAGACCTCTCTTTTCATGGTCACTGACTGCAATCTTATCTTCTATATCTGAGAGCCTATCTTCACATTCTTTTATTCTGTTGCGTACACTTTCAAAAGAGTGTTTAATCTCCTGGATATCTGTTTGAATCTGTTTTATGGATTCCATTTCTTTCCTATGTTGGGCGTTTATTTTTTCCATTTCTTTCTTATGCTGGGCCTTCATGGCTTCTATCATGGTCCTGAGCTCATCTATTTTTTTGTCAGTTTCTGTTCTAGAGTCTCGAATCACAACTTCCATTTTGCTCACTATCTCTATGGTTATCTGGGAAATTATTTCTGTTTTGAATTTTTCTAGAGCCTGATTGATCTGTTTTGTTACTTCCTGTGCTTTGAGTTCAGGGTGTCCTGGTTGTGCACTATCGGCCTTTTCATCCTCATTTGCCCTACTGTTTGCCATTGGTGAACTGGAAGTCTGTCCTTGTGTCTCGCTTAAGTGTTTTCTCATTTTTATTTTTATTGTCGGACTGTCCTTGGTTTAATCTCTGGATTATCACCCAAATCTTCCTGATATAGTTGCGCCCTAGCTTCTGTGTCTCTAACGACCCACAGACATTCTCATCTTCATAACATCAGAGAAAACAGCTCATCAAATCAACCGCAATGCTTTATCCCAACTGATACAATCAGCAACACATTAAGATCAAGCACAACTTGGACACTGACCACCTGTGGTAGTCACTAGTCTATCACCCTTAAATCATTTGAATTAAATTGAAATCAAGAAGCAGTCCAGAACATGTCTGCAGTGAACAAAATTTCAGTAGAGTGTATTTACCATTTAATGGCTCAGACGGAGCAAGGATGCAAGACCCCTGATCTCAATTAGCTGATGGCTGAACCCTATGACGCTGACTGACCTCGTGCTGCAAGGCCCAGATTGAGTTCCCCAACCTTCTGAATGGTTGAACTCCACAACGTTCTATTACAGGTTTCCCACGCCCTTTCTTTAAAGATGTTCAAAGTTGGGAACTCAGAAAAATACCCTTGATGACCACTTCTGTCTCTGCACAGTGGGTCCAAAGACTGGCACAGTCAGGAGGTCTGAGAGTGTGTGTGTGGGGCTTATGGGGGTTCAGGAGCTCCTGCACTGCTACCTTCCTGGTGCTTGAGCAATGGCGGCTGGGTCGGGAGCAGGCATGGCTCTCCTTCCCGCGGTGGATCAGGGCCCAGACTCTTACAGTTTTTTTTAATGTTGCTTCCCCATGGGTCTATCTACTACTTAATAAGGAAAACCTTTAACCAACTTTGAAATTTAAATCTCTGCAATTATATAAAATAGCAGAGATTTAAATAATGTAAGTATTAAAGACTTAGCGATCACCATTTTGAATGTTTTTTAACATTGGCTATCTTGTAATTTAATCTTTTAAAACAAAATACAACATGTATTCTTCTCTACCAAGAAATGCTTTATAGTGTAATAATTCTGTCAGTTGTTGGTTACATAAACTCAGCCAGTGATAGTGCTTTTTATTCATGCTATAATGGTCTTTATCAGACATAGAAGTTCTTATGCTTAATAAAACAACTGTAGTTTTGCAATGGTAAAAAATCCTAAAAATTAGTCTAATTTATTGTAATCACCAATAGTATGTTTCCTGTAAAATGTAATATTAACTAAGAAGTATTGTTTTAAAATTATAACTTGAGAAACTTTAATGACAGCAAATTTGATTTTAAATTCTATCTTTTTACTCAAGGTTGTTTCCAGCTGTAATTGACCAGAAGTCATTTGTTTTTCCCCCGGAATCTGAAGGTAAACTCTGGAGACTCCCAAAACAGCGTGGCTTAGTTCCAAGAGTAAAGGTAGGGACTGAGTGACATGTAGTGACGTGGTGACAAAGTAGTCATATCTGGGGCCTCAGAGAAAGGGGGAACAGGATTACCTTCTACTGGGTAGGAAGTCTCTTTTGAGGCTGATAAAAATGTTCTAGAATTATATAGTGGTGGCTGTTATACAACTTTGTGAATATGCTAAACACTGCTGACTTGTACACTTTTAAACAGTAAAACTTATCGCAAATGGATTATATTTATATAAAACTGCACTAGTCAGCTTTCCCGTCTCTGGGACAAAATATCCCTCACCTGCAACTTAGAGCAGGACAGGTTTGTTTGCTCAGTGGGTTCAGTCCATGGTCAGCCATCTCCAACAGCAATGTGGAAGGACAGCTGCTGGCTGCTCACATGATGGTAGCCAGAAAGTAGAGAGAAAGATGAAGAACCAGGGTCATGAATATATCCTTTTAGGTTATGCCCACAGTGAACCACCTCTTTCAGCTAGGAACCACCCCCAAACAGCACATTTAGCTCTGATCTTATCAATGGAGTAAACTACTGATGAATACAGTTGGCCCCATGATTGAGTCACCTTCAAATATGTGAGATTTTGGGGGGATATTTTAGAACTAAACCATAAAAAAAAAAGTGAAAATTAGCCGGGTGTGGTGTTGCATGCCTGTAATTCCAGCACTCGGGAGGCTGAGGCAGGAAGATCGCTGTGAGTTTGAGACTAGCCTGGGCTACATAGTGAGTTCCAGGGCAGTCTGAACTACATAGTGAGACCCTGTCTCAAAAAAAAAAAAAACAAAAAAAAAAAAAGTGAAAATTTTGTAGAGAGTAAAGACAGCATATTTGTATTGTGTTTTACAGTAAAAAGTATCATGATACACATATATAGATATGTTTGTACAATTTCATGTTATTATTACTTCAGATATGTTCTTGGCAGTTTTGTTCCAAGAGCAAAATTAATCAAAACATAACTCCTTGAAAATTTTAAACAGAGTGCCATGGGTTCCCAAATGTCAAAAGCTTTGAAGTTTCTGATTTTTGCCTCTGTTCTGTGTTATCTTGTCTTGACTCTTGTTCCCCCGTCTTAGTCAGTCTTAGTTGAGGCTGCTTTTGCAGAATCCCGTAGATGGGGTATCACAGTTTTGCACAGCACTGGAGGCTGTGAGTCTAAAATCAAGGTGCGGGCAGATCTGGTATCTGGTAAGGGTGCTCTTATTTGAAGAAAGCCTTATTCTACTATCTGGGTGAGAGGAAGAGAGGGGGAAAAGACAAAGAAGAGAGAGATGAAGAGAGAGAGAATCTTTCACCCTTTTATAAGAACAATTATTTCACACATGAGAATTATACCCTGATAACCTAATTACCCTGTAAAGGCCTCACCTCCTAATACTATCATATTAGGAATTAAGATTTCAACATGAGCTTTAGAAGGACACATTCAGTCAACAAAACCCTTACTTCCCCAAAGTAATAATAGCTCACCTCTTCTGAAACCAGGTACCATTGCCATTGCTTTGAAAATATCAACTTGTCTAATCTTCAGAACAGTCCTAAAAGGAGCTATTATTTTTATTGGTAAAGAGACCAAAGTACTTGCAAAATGTTAAATAAGCTGTAAATGTCCAAGCCAGGATTATGAACCCAGAAATGCAGGGATCCAAAGCTGTGCTCTTAATCCATTATCATACTCTCTCTTTAAATAATAGCTGTCTCACCAGGCGTGGTGGTGCACGCCTCTAATCCCAGCACTTGGGAGGCTGAGGCAGGAGGATTGCTGTGAGTTCGAGACCAGCCTGGGCTACATAGTGAGTCCCAAGTCAGTCTCAACTACATAGTGAGACCCTGTCTCAAAAAAACCCTAAATAAATAAATAAATAAATAAAAGCTGTCTTGAGATATAATATCCATACCCTAAAATTCATCTTTTAAAGTGTTCCATTTTCATACGTTTGCAAAGTATATAGCCATCATGCGGTACTCCTTTGTATAATTGCTTGTACTACACTGTATTTTTTCTTCATCACATTTGCCATGGTTTGTAATTAGTGTGTTGTGTGATTAAAAAAGGTCTGTCATCCCATGATATTATAAGCTTAACAAGAGTAGGGTCTATGTCAGTGTATTCATTGCTGTACAAGGCAAGGGACCCACAATAAATATTTGTTAGATGAGTAAATGAAACCACCCCAGTGACCTGTAAAGGTGTGCTCATCCCCATATAAAAGATCAGCCCGTTCCTCTGGACTCCCAAGCAGCCTGCTCCTACCTGCCATTGCTCTTGTTACCTTGGGTTCAGCCACTTTTTATGGGGAGCTTACTGTGTGCCAGGAGTTGTCAGAGGCATGCAGAAATAGACAGGACGGCTGGGCTGTAGGGCCTCATGGAGCTCACAGTCTAGTGGAGCAAGTGGGAGGAGTAGCCACCTATTAGCTAAGAACTAGCGCTCTGATGCAAATAAGACAGAATCTTCTGAAAAAGAGAGCATAAACTTCTCATCTTCCTTGCTATCAATAGCAGTTTCAATTTTTTTTTTTAACCAAGATTCGCAGGAGGGTCACACTTGGTTTGCAAAACCAAGAATTGGCATACTCTGATGTGTAGGAATAGTGAAACAAAATACCCGAAATTAGGACCATTGTAGAATATATAGTTACTTTACCACCACCACCACCACCCCATTAAATTTTGGCCAGAAATTTATTTTCTCCAAAGAGTTTTGGATCCTGGCAAATGACCATAAAGCTAAGGAAACACACGTGTTCCTGAGGTGACCTGTGCTCTATTAGGTGCCGTGAGCATGGGTGAGCTCCATTTAGGAAGGGGCATGGACCATTTCCCACCCGGACTTCACTGTAGGGCCCGGATTCCTATTGTTATTTTATCCCTGATATTGGTGACATCTGCTTAAAAATGCATATCCACTGACACAAAAGATAGCTCTAATTTTCATTGTAAAGTCAATGACAAACAGTGCTGTTTTGCCAGCTGTTACATGTGCCTTCTACACCAACATAAAAGCTTGTATTATTATTAAGTAGTTGTGAAATCCAACTGGGATATTACTACCTTTAATTGCTCACTTTCAACCTTTTAAACTAGGTAAACCCCAGTCGCTTCTTTAAATTCTCTTTCCTCAAAAGTGAGTAGCTGCGTTTGGAATTCCATTTCACACCAAAAAAACTCAAATGACAAACAGTTAGGAGTTGCTCAATTGTAATTAAGAATCATAATTAAGAATTGTTTATTAAGCTTCACTTAAATTTGAAAAAGCACTCAGAAAACTGTATAATTAAAAAAGAGAACATTTACATGCATATATGCTTGTATTGTACGTTTTATTATAATAAAAAAAGAGGGGGGCCGGGGATTGAGCTCGGTGGTTCTAGTGCCTGCCTTGAAAGCACAAGGGCCCGAGTTCAATTACTGGTACCCCCCCAAAAAAGGAAATGTATGGAAGATGACAAGCTAATGTTATCATTGGTTACCTTATGGGCCTGGGTAGGTTGGTAGAGGATGAAGGGGAAACAATTAGCTTTGTCTTAGTTTACATGAACCTTTCACTGATGACTGCCCTTGAAAAACAGTAAAATTGGAATATAAAGTAAAATTGAAATATAAAATCTTATTTTGGGGATTTGTGGATACCTGTGTATAAATCTACATAGTCTCCATTCTTGCTTGTTAAAATACTCACTGTTGGACTTTTCCTCCTAGTTTATCAGTGACACATAAAGTATGACAAAGCCAACTGTTTCCCTCTCATCCTCTACGAACCTGCCCAGTCTCATAAGGCAGCCAGTGTTAACATCAGCAAACATTTTTTTGTTTGTAATAAAACATATAATAGAAGCTCGTATGCAGATACTATCTATAGGGTTTGGGTTGGTTGTGAACTTTTTGTTTTTACTAAAACATTGTATTTTGAATTGCTAAAAATAAAAAACATCTTTTATTTATAGATACTATACATGAAGCTATGTTCGTATAATTATTGTATAAAATATATGTATTTCAAAATCAAGAAACTTTGAGACAAAATGTAACTCTGGGATAAAATATAACTATGGTGTCCTATTTTCATTTTTTATTACTGAATTTCCCTAAAAAGAAGAAAATGGTCAATGTGACTGTATAGGTTCCAGGGTTGAATGTGACAAGCCTGAAGCAAGTGGAAAATACCTTTGCTATCTCCTGCTTTGTTAGCCCTGTGTAAGAATTCTTCCGCAGAGCTGAGTATGGTGACGAATGCCCATAGTCCCAGCTACACGGGGTACAGAGTCTCACTCCCTGGTCTTGATCTGGGCCAAGAGTAAGGGCCATGTCAGCTGGAGAATTGTGCATCACAGTTCAGCTTCTCTGTCTGACCAATCCCATGTCTTGTGCTCCTCACAGGTCCTCTGCCAAGCTCTGTTTCAGGGTCTGTTTCCTAGGAAACCTAAACTAAAGCGCACAGTTATGGTTACCTGTTGTGGCACTGTGGGAGTGCTGTGGAGAGACTAATGCTTCTGATGGTGACTGGTTTTCATGGTGCACAGCACGTAGTGGGACATCTGCCTGGGAGATCGCACGGGGAGGGAGCCTGAATGAATACTCCAACCTCACGCTCCTCCTCCTTTGTGATCTCCTGCTTCTCGATGACAAATGGGAGATACCAGCACAGGGCATGTTAGTTTTTAGAACTAACCCTTTCCAAAAGACACGCGTGAACAGTGTAACCATATAACTAACTTATTGTCCAAACTATGGCACTCTTAAGAAGAAAAGGGAATGAAATTAATAATGACTTCAAGACAGCAGGAGTAAACCAACTTCTCAGATGCCCAAAACATTTATTTGTTTATTAAATCATCTAGTTGACCAGCATATCGATTGTAGGGTGGTGGGGGGCAGCATTAAAGCACTAGAGTGCTAGGCAGAAAAGGAGAATATTTTGTCCTTGAGAATATTTTGAAGAAGACAGACAAATCACGGAAGATTTCACGGATCACCTGAGACAGAAAAGCAGTCTTCTC